TCGGATAGGAGAAACGGGGAGGGATAGGTGGTTGCATGCTTGGATTATTCTGTCTATGGTACTAGGGTATCTGTATTTTCTTTTATGTGGCTTTATTAGTTTAGTTATATGGGTGCCGTGGGCGAAAAGGATATTTTTACTTAATTTGGCTGTAAGGAAGTTTCGTTTTTGTTCTAATGTGTTTGTTTTAGTTTCTAGTAGTAAGTTGTTTACTGGTGTGGTTCGGTAGGCTCCTAAGGCTGCTCTTAGAGCTGCGTTTATTGTTGTTTTTAAGCAGTTTAATTTAGATTTGGGACAATATCCGTAGAAAGGCAGGCAATAATCGATTTTAGAAATGAGGATAGATTTAATAGTAAGATAAGAGTGGTTGTGTTGCTGTTATATTTAAGGGAAGAGAGATGTTTAATAATATTTAGAGTTTTTGATAGTTCTGTTTTTAATTTTGTAATATGGGTGTTCCAGGTGTATTTGTTGTTAATAGTAAGTCCTAGTATTCTGAGGGAGTTTGTACTGGGAAGATTTGTGTCGCCTGTAAGGATCTTGGCAGAGCAGTTATGTTTTCTGCATATGTGAAGGACTTGACATTTTTCTTTTGATAGAATTGAACCAGAGTACGTACACCAGTCGTCTATTTGAGTAAACAGGGTTTGGAGGTTGGTAGTGGGGTTTTTTTGTTTATTGTGTTCGATTATAAGATGGAAATCATCGGCGTATGCTGTTAGTTTTATTTCTTTGTGTAAGGAGATAATATGGGAGAGAGTGTTGTAAGCTATGAGAAAGAGAATTACTGAGATTGGAGACCCCTGGGGTATGCCATTGTTAAGTGGGAAAAGGCTTGAAAGGTTGTTGCCGGATTTTATGATTATTTTTCTGTTTGTCATAAAGTTATGGACATAATTTAATATGCGTTTGCCTATTTTCCATTCCTTCAGCTGGTTAATTACGGAGTGGATGCCTATTTTGTCAAATGCCTTGTTGAAATCAAGAGAGATCAATGTGACGTGCTTCTTGAGGGAAAGGGATCTTGTTGCTATGTGGTCTACTAAGAGTAGACTGTCTATAACAGATCTTCCCCTTCTAAATCCAATCTGATTGCTGTTGATTAGGTTGTTATTTAAAACAAACCACCACAGTCTCTTTGCGATAATCTTATCAAGTGTTTTGGCTAGGCATGAATTTAGGGATATCGGGCGGTACGATTTAATGTCTGTTTTGGGTTTTTGGGGTTTTAGGATGGGAAGTACAAGGCTATGTTTGTAGGCTTGAGGGATTGAGGAATCTAGGATTGAGTTGAAATGGTTAAGGACTCTGTGTTTGAATGATATGGGGGAGTTGTTGATCATAATGTATGAGATGCGATCTAAGCCTGGAGTTTTGCCTTTCAAGGAGTTGAGTGCGCTGCTAAATTCAATGAACGAAATGTCCTTTTCTATTTCTAGTGCAGTTTTGGAGGGTTGGTAGTCTAATGTGTGGTTTAAGCGGAATTTATTAGTGCGAAAAGTTGGAGAAAAGTTACCGTCGTCGGCTTCTTTGGACCAGGCAAGTCCAAAAGAGTTAGCGATTTCACTTTGGGATGTTCTGGGGGTGGGGAAATGTTAATGCAGTGTATGTGCTTTGTGGGGTAAAGGCCGCAAAGGCGTCTGATGTTGGACCATGTTCTTGCTGGAGATGAGAAGGGACTAATATCGGATGTGAAATTAAAAATAGAGATTCGTTTGGCTTCTCTAATGGCTTTCTTTAGTTTAGCGTTGGCTCTTTTGTATTCTATTATATTATACGTAGTAATGTTACGTTTTAGTATTGACCATTTAGACGATTTGGCATTCTTCAAAACTGATAAGTTTTGATTCCACCACGGGACTGTTCTAGGGAATTGAAAAGTGGAGTTCTGGGGGATTGATTGGTGCGCGCTGTGGATAATAATTTTTCTTAACAAAGCTGCTTCTTTATTGACATTTTCGCTCGGTGGCTTGTCAGTAGAATTGATACGAAAAGATTTTTTGTATGCTTCCCAGTTTGCTTTCTTTAAGTTAAAGGAGGGTTTGGAGGTGTAGGATGAGGGGGAGGCATTAAGGTTCATTGAGATTAAGATAGGGAGGTGATCACTTCCGTAGAGGTCGTCTATTGTTTCCCAGAGAAATTCTGGGGCTATAGTGGATGAAGAAAAGGATAAGTCTATATGTGTGAAAGAGTTGTGAGTGGAGAAGTGGGTGGGGCTTTTGTCGTTTAATAAAATGTAATCTGAACGGTCTAGGAATTTGGCAATAATATTGCCTCTGGTATTAGGGCTAGGAGAGCCCCAGTAGGGGTGCCAACTATTAAAGTCTCCGAGGACTAAAGTGGGTGTGTTGTCGAAGCAGAGGACGTTTTCTAGGTTACTTCTGTTAAAGGACTTAGTTGGTGAAATGTAGACTGATATTATGTTTAGTTTAAGTTTTGTATCTATTGAGACTCCAGTTGCTTCGAAGTCTTGGGTGATTGAGATTTGTCTTTGAGATATTGAGTTATGTATCAGTAGAGCTGCGCCCCCGTAAGAGTTGGTGCAGCATTGTTGGTAGAGTGTGTAGTTAATGGGAATGGGTAGAGAGTTAAAGTTGGTTATGTGTGTTTCTTGTAGGGCAAGAATTAGGGGGTTAAAGGTCTTGATCAGGGTTTGGAGTTCAATGTAGTTATTTCTATATCCATGGATGTTCCATTGAATGAATTTAAGCATTAAATGTAAAGAGAAGGTGTATTACTTAGTACTAATTTGAGTGATTAATTAATAAAGTTCCTTGGCAGTGTTGTTTGGGTTACTTCGAGTGTTTTAGTTGGTTTGTATTTACTGTTTTCGATTTGTCTGCTTTGCTTTTAGCCTTTAGGGGTATAGCCAGAGGGTTGGTTTTTTCTTTGTTGTAGCTTCTGAGAGTGCGGTCTGAGGTTGTAGTGTTTGTACTGGTTCTGATGGATTCTGTTGTATCCATTTCGATGTCGTCCTCGCTTGGAGTTTGTGGGATGGGGGTTGTGCTGCAACTTGGGAGTAAGGAGTGGCCTTGTGGAAGTGACGTTGGATGTATATTTTTGATGATAATTTTGATAATAATAAATTTATTTTTATATTCAAACAGCTCCCACTGCCTCGGACCACCGCCGCACCAGCATGGGCGCCGCTCTGAAGTCCAACTTCGTGGTGTCGCAGAGCGACCTCTGGGACACGCACACGCTGTCGCACGCCAAGCAGCGCCAGTCGCCGCGCAACTACGCCAGTCCGCAGCGCTGTGCGGAGCACCATGGCGGCCACGGGATGGCCTATGACCCCAACACCACCTCGCCCATCCAGCGGTCCGTCTCGGAGAAGAACCGCAACAAGCACCGGCCAAAGCCGCAGAAGGGCACCGTGTGCCAGAGCGAAACGGACAGCGAACGGGAGCGGGATCCGCCGCCCAGCAGCCAGCCCTGCGTCCAGCCGCGTAAGGTAAGCCGGAGCTCCAACATCCAGCATGCCGCCCACCACCACAGTTCGCCCAATGTGGCACCGGACAAGCAGCGGAGCAGGCAGCGAGGGAAGCAGGAGAGCACCATCTATGGGGCCAGCAGCGAAACGGAACTGCTCGAAGGCGAGACGGCCATCCTGCCCATCTTCCGGAAACTCCTCACCGAGAAGAGCCCCAACTACCGGGGACGCAGTGCCGTCGGCCAGAGCTGTCCGAATATATCCATCAAATGCGATATCGTCGAGTACTTGTAGGCGGCGCGAGGGATAGGATTGGATTAGGATGCATTATGTAGTCGAACTCCTATTGTTAGATCCAGTTGCAGTGTAAAGATTTCCTTTGTTTTTCCGCGTTATGCATCTACATACTATGTGAGGCAGGACACACACCATTTAGAGAACTAGTAGCAATGACTTGAGATAGTTGAGAAATAAATTACAATTTAAATTAATCATACAACTGAGTGCGTTTCGATTTAACAGAAGGAAGATGGTGAAAAATATCAATTGTATAGGTGATTTAAGCTATAAAATCTAGGGGAAATCTATTAATGTAGGTTCCGAAAAATGAGTATTAATATGATATAGTATATCAAAATCAAAGATCACATTGTTCACTGTGTACAAGCAGATACGGCAACTGTAATTTATTTAAATGTGCAAATGTTTATGAGTGTTATGCTGATGGGGGATCTATTGCAGAGCGATACGCCGGAAGTGATTGTTGAGAGGACCCTCGTCCGAGTAGCCGGCAATTTCCTGTGGTATAATGCCCGACTCCTCGATGGAGGTGCATGGCCGGCACATGCACTCCAGCGGAGCCTTGGTCAGGACCTTCTTAAACTTCCGCTCGCCGGGCTTCACTTTGGGACAGAAGAGCGAGACGGCTGCCTCCCGTTCGCCGGACTCCTGGCAGCACATGCAAGAGCGCTCCATCTGCCAGATCTTACTGCCCGAAACCTGGAGTTTTCATATTAAGAGATATATTTTATGAGGAATTAATATCCCAAAAACCCACCTGAATATAACTGGCACAGCGACCCACACAGGCGAATGAGGGAATGGGTTTGGGCACACAGCCGGGATACTGAAGGACATGAATGACGGGGGTCACCTGGCAATCGTCGCCAAGATGCGGAATATCTGGATAGAAAAGGAACCCTTCACAGTCACTATAGAAACTAAAATATATAAACCCCTATACCATTATCCGTGGCAGCCACAGAAGTATCCGCCTGAGCCGTGCACAGTTTCAGGATGCTGACCAGGACGCAGTAGAGCAGGATCAGGACGAAGACCTTGTTGTTCTCGTGGCGGAGCAGGTGGCGCAGCATCTCGTCGGCCCGACTGCGAGTGTCCCTTCGCGTGGAATGGAAAGCGCCACTTGCAGCCGGAGGGCTTTTATAGACCGACTTGGCCAGCGGACATGGCCATAATGGCCGCCGCTCTCGACTGCGTGAATTATGGCCTAATAAAGCAAGCGCCAGCCAAACCTTTTTGCCTAGTAATTGCGTACACGAAAAGGGCATTTCACCCCGCAGCGCAATGGCGCAACGGCAATCTTTTTATTTCTCCACAACTTATTAGCTAATCAGAGCCAGGCCAAAAGGCTGGCCACCACCGCCAGTAGCAGGACCAATATGGAAGTTGCTCCCTGAATGGATCCGGCATTTCTTCTCTCTAGATATTGGACCAAACCTTCCAGATGATCCTCGGCCCAGGCTATGTTTTCTTTCACCGATTCCAGGGACTTCGAGAGCACAGCCGCCGATTTCCCGAAGTACTGGTGGTTGACATCGTAGAATTCCTGGAACAACTGCTGCTGCTGCCGGGTGGTGAAGTGCTCCGCCATGTCGCTGATCACCTCTGCCGTGTCCTCCCAACTTTGGAAGCTATAATTAAAGTATGTTATTGGTTAAATTAAACCAAGAAATGGATCATCAAGGGGTCCACAGAGATCAAGAGGCGTTTTATAACACAAATTAAACTGGCTATGAAAATGAAAATTAAATATTCGCCTTGAAAGGTTTTAAATTGACTTTTCTCTGAGACACGTAATTTCAGTTTCAACGGGCAAAACATCAATACAAAAAGTTATGTTAATGAACGGTGTTATAACATAACGAAACCATTAACATGGTCCCAAGTTTCCAGATTTTAGGTTACTTACTCATAAGCCAGGACCACAATGTTCTCTGTTATCATTTCAAAATGGGCTGGACCAATTCGGGGTTCTGCTCATACAACCGGGCTATTCCAATTTTCTTTTTCTCCACACTTTCCGTAGTTTAGCCAAATCAAGGCCTAAAGCTAAAAGACCGACTGTTTTAAATGCTATCGATCCCATCACTTTAGGGAACATTTATTTTTTGACCCATTTTCACATTTTTTATAAGGGGGTACATCGGTTTTTTTGTAATTCAGATTTTGGTCAAAAATACTAATTTTTTAGTGGTTTTTCAGCCGTAGTTTAGCCAAGTCAAGGTGTACAGCTAAAAGACCTACTGTTTTGAACAGCTTGCTACAAATGCTAACGATCCTCATCCCTTTTTGGAAATTTGTTTTTGGACCAATTTTCTCAATTTTTGTAGGGGTTACATCACTTTTTTTTCGAAATATGGCAAAAATTAAACATTTTAAGGTTAGAATGCCAATCGATTGGAAATTAAACAACGAGCTCAACGAGGTATGACATTCCTCATTCTGACTTATATTTTTGTTATGGCAGCCAAAAAACTGAATTTTTATGGCGAAAAAAGGGTTAAAATTTTTGTCAAAAATACAAAATTCAGATTTTTGTCAAAAATTTGAAATTTTTTTCTGGTTTTTTCATCGTAGTTCAGCTTAATCAAGGCGTACAGCTAAAAGACCGACTGTTTTGAACAGCTTGCTACAAATGCTAACGATCCTCATCCCTTTTTGGAAAATTTATTTTTTGACCAATTTTCTCAATTTTTGTAGGGATTACATCACTTTTTTTCGAAAAATGGCAAAAATTAAAAATTTTCAGGTTAAAATGCCAATCGATTGGAAATTAAACAACGAGCTCAACGAGGTTGACATTCCTCATTCTGACTTATATTTTTATTATGGCAGCCAAAAAACTGAATTTTGTCAAAAACACAAAATTCAGATTTTTGTCAAAAATTCGAAATTTGTTTCTGGTTTTTTCATCGTAGTTCAGCCAAATCAAGGCGTACAGCTAAAAGACCGACTGTTTTGAACAGCTTGCTACAAATGCTAACGATCCTCATCCCTTTTGGAAAATTTATTTTTTGACTAATTTTCTCAATTTTTGTAGGGTTTTTTTCAAAAAATGGCAAAAATTAAAAATTTTCAGGTTGAAATGCTACTCGATTGGAAATTAAACAACGAGCTCAACGAGGTATGGCATTCCTCATTCTGACTTATATTTTTTTTATGGCAGCCAAAAAACTGAATTTTTGTGGCGAAAAAAGGGTTAAAATTTTTGTCAAAAATACAAAATTCAGATTTTGTCAAAAATTCGAAATTTTTCTGGTTTTTTCATCGTAGTTCCACCAAATCAAGGCGTACAGCTAAAAAACCGACTGTTTTGAACAGCTTGCTACAAATGCTAACGATCCTCATCCCTTTTTGGAAAATTTATTTTTTCACCAATTTTCTCAATTTTTGTAGGGTTTCATCACTTTTTTTTCGAAAAATGGCAAAAAATAAAAAATTTAGGTTGAAATGCCAATTGATTGGAAATAAACAACGAGCTCAACGAGGTATGACATTTCTCATTCTGACTTATATTTTTGTTATGGCAGTCGAAAATTAAACATTTTAAGGTTAGAATTCCAATCGATTGGATATTATACAACGAGCTCAACGAGGTTGACATTCCTCATTCTGACTTATATTTTTATTATGGCAGCCAAAAAACTGAATTTTGTCAAAACACAAAATTCAGATTTTTGTCAAAAATTCGAAATTTGTTTCTGGTTTTTTCATCGTAGTTCAGCCAAATCAAGGCGTACAGCTAAAAGACCGACTGTTTGAACAGCTTGCTACAAATGCTAACGATCCTCATCCCTTTTTGGAAAATTATTTTTTGACCAATTTTCTCAATTTTTGTAGGGTTTTTTTCAAAAAATGGCAAAAATTAAAAATTTTCAGGTTGAAATGCCACTCGATTGGAAATTAAACAACGAGCTCAACGAGGTATGGCATTCCTCATTCTGACTTATATTTTTTTATGGCAGCCAAAAAACTGAATTTTTGTGGCGAAAAAAGGGTTAAAATTTTTGTCAAAAATACAAAATTCAGATTTTTGTCAAAAATTCGAAATTTTTTTTCTGGTTTTTTCATCGTAGTTCCACAAATCAAGGCGTACAGCTAAAAAACCGACTGTTTTGAACAGCTTGCTACAAATGCTAACGATCCTCATCCCTTTTTGGAAAATTTATTTTTTCACCAATTTTCTCAATTTTTGTAGGGGTTTCATCACTTTTTTTCGAAAAATGGCAAAATTAAAAATTTTTAGGTTGAAATGCCAATTGATTGGAAATTAAACACGAGCTCAACGAGGTATGACATTTCTCATTCTGACTTATATTTTTGTTATGGCAGCCAAAAAACTGAATTTTTATGTCGAAAAAAAGGTTAAAATTTTTCTCAAAAACACAAAATTCAGATTTTTGTCAAAAATTCGAAATTTTTTTCCGGTTTTTTCATCGTAGTTCAGCCAAACCAAGGCGTACAGATAAAAGACCTACTGTATTGAACAGCTGCTACAAATGCTAACGATCTTCATCCCTTTTTGGAAAATTTATTTTATGACCAATTTTCTCAATTTGTAGGGGTTCATCACTTTTTTCGAAAATGGAAAAAATTAAAAATTTTCAGGTTGAAATGCCAATCGATTGGAAATTAAACGACGAGCTCAACGAGGTATGACATTCCTCATTCTGACTTATATTTTGGTTATGGCAGCCAAAAAACTGAATTTTTATGGCGAAAAAAGGGTTAAAATTTTTGTCAAAAATTAAAATTCAGATTTTTGTAAAAAATTCGACTTTTTTTTCCAGTTTTTCCATCGTAGTTCAGCCAAATCAAGGCGTACAGCTAAAAGACCGACTGTTTTGAACAGCTTGCTAAATATGCTAACGATCCTCATCACTTTTAGAAAATTTATTTTTTGACCAATTTTCTCAATTTTTGTAGGGGTTAGGTCACTTTTTTTCGAAAAATGGCAAAAATTAAAAATTTTCAGGTGAAATGCCAATCGATTGGAAATTAAACAACGAGCTCAACGAGGTATGACATTCCTCATTCTGACTTATATTTTTGTATGGCAGCAAAAAAACTGAATTTTTATGGCGAAAAAAGGGTTAAATTTTTGTCAAAAATTCAAATTCAGATTTTTGTAAAAAATTCGACTTTTTTTTCCAGTTTTTCCATCGTAGTTCAGCCAAATCAAGGCGTACAGCTAAAAGACCGACTGTTCTGAACAGCTTGCTACAAATGCTAACGATCCTCATCACTTTTGGAAAATTTATTTTTTGACCAATTTTCTAATTTTTGTAGTGGTTTCATCACTTTTTTTTCGAAAAATGGCAAAAATTAAAATTTTCAGGTTAAAATGCCAATCGATTGGGAAATTAAACGACGAGCTCAACGAGGTTATGACATTCCTCATTCTGACTTATATTTTTGTTATGGCAGCCAAAAACTGAATTTTTATGGCGAAAAAGGGTTAAAATTTTGTCAAAAATACAAAATTCAGATTTTTTGTCAAAAATTCGAAATTTTTTTCCAGTTTTTCCATCGTAGTTCAGCCAAATCAAGGCGTACAGCTAAAAGACCGACTGTTTTGAACAGCTTGCTAAATATGCTAACGATCCTCATCACTTTTAGAAAATTTATTTTTTGACCAATTTTCTCAATTTTTGTAGGGGTTAGGTCACTTTTTTTCGAAAAATGGCAAAAATTAAAAATTTTCAGGCTGAAATGCCAATCGATTGGAAATTAAACAACGAGCTCAACGAGGTATGACATTCCTCATTCTGACTTATATTTTTGTTATGGCAGCAAAAAACTGAATTTTATGGCGAAAAAAGGGTTAAATTTTTGTCAAAAATAAAATTCAGATTTTTGTAAAAATTCGACTTTTTTTTCCAGTTTTTCCATCGTAGTTCAGCCAAATCAAGGCGTACAGCTAAAAGACCGACTGTTTTGAACAGCTTGCTAAATATGCTAACGATCCTCATCACTTTTACGAAAATTTATTTTTTGACCAATTTTCTCAATTTTTGTAGGGGTTAGGTCACTTTTTTTCGAAAAATGGCAAAAATTAAAAATTTTCAGAAATGCCAATCGATTGGAAATTAAACAACGAGCTCAACGAGGTATGACATTCCTCATTCTGACTTATATTTTTGTATGGCAGCAAAAAAACTGAATTTTTATGGCGAAAAAAGGGTTAAATTTTTGTCAAAAATTAAAATTCAGATTTTTGTAAAAATTCGACTTTTTTTTCCAGTTTTTCCATCGTAGTTCAGCCAAATCAAGGCGTACAGCTAAAAGACCGACTGTTTTGAACAGCTTGCTAAATATGCTAACGATCCTCATCACTTTTAGAAAATTTATTTTTTGACCAATTTTCTCAATTTTTGTAGGGGTTATCACTTTTTTTCGAAAAATGGCAAAAATTAAAAATTTTCAGGTGAAATGCCAATCGATTGGAAATTAAACAACGAGCTCAACGAGGTATGACATTCCTCATTCTGACTTATATTTTTGCTATGGCAGCAAAAAACTGAATTTTTATGGCGAAAAAAGGGTTAATTTTTGTCAAAAATAAAATTCAGATTTTTGTAAAAATTCGACTTTTTTTTCCAGTTTTTCCATCGTAGTTCAGCCAAATCAAGGCGTACAGCTAAAAGACCGACTGTTTTGAACAGCTTGCTAAATATGCTAACGATCCTCATCACTTTTACGAAAATTTATTTTTTGACCAATTTTCTCAATTTTTGTAGGGGTTAGGTCACTTTTTTTTTCGAAAAATGGCAAAAATTAAAAATTTTCAGGCTGAAATGCCAATCGATTGGAAATTAAACAACGAGCTCAACGAGGTATGACATTCCTCATTCTGACTTATATTTTTGTATGGCAGCAAAAAACTGAATTTTTATGGCGAAAAAAGGGTTAAATTTTTGTCAAAAATAAAATTCAGATTTTTGT